GCCTTTTTTTCAGGACTTAGAGTCTAGCTAAGGGAGACAGATAAATTTACAATTATCATTGCGGTTGTGTACTTTTAAAAAGTCTAACAAGCCAGGCTCGGTAGCTCAGCCTATAATCCCGCACTTTGGGAGGCTGAGGTGAGTGTATTGCCTGAGCCCCCGGGTTCGAGACCCGCCTGGGTAACTTGGCAAGACCTCATCTCTACAATAAATCAAAAAAATTAGCCAGACATGGTAGCGCATACCTGTAGTTTCAGCTACTTGGAAGGCTGAAGCGGAAGGATCACCAGAGCCCAGCAAGTCGAGGCTGCGGTGGCCGGGAGCAGCCACTGCACTCCAGTCTGGGTGACAAAGTGAGACTCCAACTCAAAAAAAAAAAAGTCTAACAGAGTATTATGATATCGGAGTTTAGAAAAGTGAGCAGTTAATTCTTGGGGGTAGTGTTGATTCCTGGGAAATTTCTCAGCAGAGGAAACTTTTCAGTTGGGTATTCAGGGCATGAGAATAGTGTGGAAAGAGGCACATGATTGAAATTGTATTGTACAATCAGGGACCAGGTTGTAGGTCTGGAGTAAATAGGCTTAGATGTGGGGACAGAGGTGTTGGTAAGAGGTACCAGATCTGGAAGGCAGTTTGGTAGCAGTTTGAAAGTACTCATGCTTAAAGAATTTGATTTTCATTCAATAGGCAGAAGGGATTGGTTAACAGATTTTTGAGCCAGATTGATTACTTATATTTTAGAAATAACAGGTAGGATCTGGGTTCAGTGGTTCAGTCTATAATCCCGCGCTTTGGGAGGCTGAGGTGAGTGGATTGCCTGAGCCAATGGGTTCGAGACCCGCCTGGGCAACTTGGCGAGACCTCATCTCTGCAATAGGAATTTAGAGGATGAATTTGATTTTAGCAAGGATACTAGCTTTTACCTAAGTTTAGGCAGACTAAATTGAGTCCAAACTAAGTCAGTGACACTTGAGATATAAAAGAAACAGCCAATTCAACAGTATTTTGGGAGGTTCCAGCACAGTACCCCCTCTCCACCCCATAGACATGCCCCTCTGATTCTTTCTCTAGAGCTTTGTTCTGGCTTTCCCCGGTCTTTTATGGCTAACTTGCCTTCAGTATGTCAGTGTTATTTCACCTCAATCTTCCTTAGAAAATGCTGGTCCTATCACAATCATTCTGCTCAGGACCACTGTGTTAGTTTTCTCTTGCTCTATACCAAGTGACCTGAAACCATAGTGACCTAAAGCAAACAATAATTGTGTATTACCTCACAGTTTCTGTGGGTCAGGAATTCAGTCAGTGTGCAGCTAGGACAGCTGGTCTCTCTCTCTGGTGTTTGGACCTTAGATAGAACACTTGAAGGCAGGGGCTGGAATAATCACTCACATGCCCAGCAATTGATGCTAGCTGTAGACTAGTGCTCCTGTGTAGCCTGTGTTATGACCTGGACTTCCTCACAATATGGGTAGAGAATTCAAGTATCCCAGTAGAGAGCTGGGCAAAAGCTACACATACACTGTTTTCTGTTGACTCAGGCAGTTTCAGAGGTTCATTCAGAGTCAAGAAGATGGAAGATAGACCCCACCTCCTGAAACAAGTTCAACCAGAGTTTGTAAGATGAACGTGGAGGTTGGTATGGCCCTCTTTAGAAAATACAGTCTGCAGCAACTGTGTTTAAAGTTAATCACTGCACTTACCCCTGTCTTTATATAATATTTAAAAATCTGATCAAACCCTCTAAAATAAAACTTCCATGTTTTTTGTCCACACTCCTGGAGGAATGTGCAGATATTGGCATCATTGATTTGTGAGTTTCTTACACTCTGGTTTTTTAATATCTATCTGGGATTTGTTTTACAATTTAACTAACCCATGGAAAGCTGTGCATCGAGTCTAGACCCATCCAGTTTGTGCAACACCAGGCACAGCAGACACTGAAGGATTTGTGTTCACATTCTGGGGCTGGCCCCCAGTTTTGCTCTGCGGAGAAGGTACAGTGTTTCTGCTGATTGTATGATACAGAATATAGCTTCAGGTGTCCGTTTACACTATAGAAGGCAAAATGGTGAGTTTTGGCTAAACTTGAATCATAAGATGAAGTGTCGCCCTGAAAAAGAGACACTGCATGTTGTGAATACATTGACACATTCAACCTACACAGAATCAGAGTGGATTGGTGACAGTTCAGCATGGTAGCTGATAGCTCTGCACGGCTCAAAGCACTCCCTTCAGACCTAAAAAGAAAGCAATTGTTACTACTTCTATGGTTGGAAACATGCCAGGCAGGATCATGTTGCTAGACCTCCTGGACATGAGTACGGGGAACTCTTCCTACAGTTTGCGTCACAGGAATTGGTAGAAAAGTCTCTGAAGAAGCAAATAAGATACAGGTACACCAGAAAGCCTTAAGATTGGTCAAGCAGAAGTTAGAACTTCACTGTGATCCCACTCAAGCCTAGACAAGAGGATTGCTTGAGCCCAGGAGTTTGAGACCATCCTGAGCAATCTAGCGAGACCTCATCTCTACAAAAACAAAAAACAGCTGGCGGTACACGCCAGTTGTCCCAGCTACTCAGGAGGCTGAGGCAGAAGGATCACCTGAGCGCAGGAGGTCAAAGCTACAGTGATCCATGATTGTGCTACCACACTCCAACCTAAGACTACAACTAAAAAAAAAAAAAAAAGATTACAACCATACCTCAACCAGATCCTCTGAGAGAGGCCTGGGACTGTCTCTGTGTTCTAGGAAGCCAGACCAGCTTTGAAAGGAGAGACCAGTAGGAGGTTATACAGACCAAGGGGGCACATTGGCTAGAGTTAATGGTCAGAGATGAGCAGAAGGGCAGAATTCCCTCATCACAGCACCCTCTGAGAATCCACATGAAAAATGACCTGTGGGGGAAATCACTGTGGAAACAACTTGCTCTTGGCTCCTTTTGATAATGCAATGATGGTGTGTCAGAAGATGGAAATTACACAACACGAATGTGCAACTTTTCTCATATATTACAGCTCAAGTAAGTGGTAGGGCCTATGGGATCAAAGCTGTGGCCTGTTGATGCCAGCCTATGAGGTGGGGAAGGACAGGAAGATTTTGGTGAAAGGGATGGGATCATTCTGAATTATTAAGGTACTCGAATATCTCAGTAGGGATTGGTAGCCAGATAGATGTCAAGTCTTATAAAGATCTCTTAGACATGTCCCTTCTTCCTTGTCCTCGCTTGTATGACCTGAATTCAGGCCCTTATCATTTCTTAGCTGACTGAATGCAATAGACCTCCAGACTAGTCTCCGTTTTCCAAGCTACCTTCTGTACTCTTGCCTATTTTTGTTAACATGCCTCTCTCTTTAGTTCTCAAGGAGCCAAAGATTTAAAATATCCTGCAGGTTTATGGGACTAAATACAGTATAGTTACATTTTATATATGTTGAATCCTGATAAAATTCGTGGCCTCAGGTAGCACCAAAATATTGGAGGGCCAGAGGATGCAAAGCCAGCAGATACTTTTGTGAGTCCACAGAAAATGAGAAGCTAGGTATTAAAAAAAAAAGTGGTACATTTTCAATATAGTAAGTCCCTTACATAAGAGTGAGTTCTGTTCAGAGAGCACATTTGTAAGTCAGATTTGTTCCTAAGTCCTACAAAGGTAGCCTGGTACCCAGCTAATATATACTGTACTACTGTACTGTACTATACAGTACAGCACACAAAAGCACAACCACTTGTAAAGGATGCATACATGTGATAGTATATATAAACCAGATGTGTGAACTAACTTTACGTGATTGGACAAGCTATTGCATATTTGCATCTTTGAAAGTTTGCAACTTGGCCGGGCTCGGTGGCTCAGCCTGTAATCCCGCCCCTTGGGAGGCTGAGGTGAGTGAATTGCCTGATCCCGCAGGTTCAAGACCTGCCTGGGCAACTTGGTGAGACCTCATCTCTACAATAAATCAAAAAATTAGCCGAGTGTTGTAGCACGTGCCTGTAGTTCCAGCTACTTGGAAGGCTGAGGCAGAAGGGTTGCCGGAGCCCAGTGGGTCAAGGCTGCAGTGGCTGGGAGCAGCCACTGCACTCTAGTCTGGGCATCTCAAAAAAAAAAAAAAGAAAGTTTGCAACTTGTAGGTTCGTATGTAGGGGACTTACTACATAGGAAACTTGTTTTAAAAGGCTTTGGAGCCGGGCTTGGTGGCTCAGCCTGTAATCCCGCGCCTTTGGGAGGCTGAGGTGAGTGGATTGCCTGAACCTGCGGGTTCGAGACCCGCCTGGGCAGCGAGACCTCATCTCTACAATAAATCAAAAAATCAGCCGGCTGTGGTAGCGCACGCCTGTAATTCCGGCTACTTGGAAGACTGAGGTGGAAGGATCGCCAGAGCGCAGCAGGTGGAGGCTGCGGTGGCCGGGAGCGGCCACTGCACTCCAGTCTGGGCATCAGAGTGAGACTCCAACTCAAAAAAAAGGCTTTGGGAGTGGATATGACTACCTGGAAGAGAGGAAAATGGGAAGAATCTTTATATTTTTGGACAAAATAAAAGACTAGAGGAAGTGGAGTCAGAAATATAAGACCAGTGGGGATCCGCACAGCAATTCCAAGAGTTCTAGCAGGACAGGCCTGAGAAAAGGGCCCTGAGTGGTTTTGGTGACTTTACCCGTAATTGTTTTTGTCATGTCACCTAAGTGAGATTGCTTTGTGCTAAGCAGATAATGAAACATGGGGATGCCTCTTAAATTGTTAAAGACTCCTTCACCCTGTGACCTAGTCTCTGACATGTGGATTGTCATTGCTGTCTTTCATGTTGTTGGGAGGATTAAATAGTGAGTTTGTAGAATTCCCAGCAAAATGTCTGTCACATAGTAATGGTAGCACCTATTTCTTCTCTTCTTCATCTTCTACTGCTGCTTATTATTATTACATTGTCTTTTTTAATCTTTGTTGTGTTTTGATAACAAATTGGTTATAATTTCTAAGAAGGAACCTTGTTTTTTTCTCTCTTAGATCTGCGATTTTGGCCTGGCTCGTGTTGCAGATCCAGACCATGATCACACAGGGTTCCTGACAGAATATGTAGCCACACGTTGGTACAGGGCTCCAGAAATTATGTTGAATTCTAAGGTAAGGACCAAATTTGCGTAAATAGAAAACTGGGAAGTCAGAGAACTTTCTAAATGTGCTACAGTAAGCTTTCCTCTCCAGCCTCTGTTTCCATTTAGGTTGGGGCTTGGCCTTTGTGGCCAGCCCATGTCTGCCCCGAACCAAGATGCTGTCTTTGTCTCCCTGTTCATCACTGAATTTCTGGGCTCTTGCTCTGGGGCTTGCCTCTCCACCTCAGCTGGAGTAATGTTGACAATTGTAGAACTGGAAGGTGTGCCTCTCTAGTTAACTGTTACTGTAATTGGTCTTTGTCTTACCTCTTGGTCAGCTCTCTCGAAGTCCTGCCTGTGGCTACTTTCAGACCTACAGCTGCCACTGATGGATGCAGGCTGAGCTTGTATTAGAGGTTACCCAGTAAAGTGTGTATTCCCATGAACATGGACCAGAGCTGTTTGGTAAAGGTCAGGTTTATCAGATGATGAAGAATCTCTTCAGCAGAATTATGGTAGTCTATTGTACTTGAAGAAAACATAGGTGTGGAAAGAAAAGGATATGTAAATTTTTTTGAAACTGTAATGGTAGTCTTGCTTCCAAATGAAATGTCTTCCTCTGCATCTCTGAGTGTTTGTGGAGAGGCACATCCAGGTCACATTCAAACTCTGCTAGCGGGATCTGTGTCTTGGTCATAGGAAATGGTTGAATACATTTGAAAAAACAAGGAAAAATGAAGTATGACATCTTTGCTAGGTTTATGAGTCAGGAGGCAAAAATTGAGGGCTGCTATGGAGATTGAGAGTCAGTATTTTTACTATGTAATTTGCAAATAGTAGATGAATAAAGTGTGAAAATTGGGCAGTTAAGTGAGCCTGACATACTTACTACCTATATCTAGTATCTCAAGATTACGACATTCTTAAACACAGTTCTATCTGGCAGAATGTAAAGATACATGAAGAAAAGCAATAAAAATAGACATTGGATCTCGTATCTAGGGCCCAGGAACCAGAAATAGTACTGAGAGGCTTAATGGAAATGAAAGTAACAGGTCTAATGAGCTCATAGGCGTCTTTCTCTTCCTCTATCCTTTATATGTACAGATAAGCTATCAGATTGCTTCTGTAAGGAAATGAAATTTGTTTAAAGCATTTACTTAGTTTTTCTTGATCTCTTACATTTGTTTCATTTAGTTATACAAGTAAGAGCCTATTAAAATAAATTCCGGCCAGGCTTGGTGGTCAGCCTATAATCCCAGCACTTTGGAAGGCCGAGGTGAGTGGATTGCTTGAGTCCGCAGGTTCGAGTCCAGCCCATGTAACTTGGTGAGACCTCATCTCTACAATAAATCAAAAATTAACTGGGCTTGGTAGTGCATGCCTGTAGTTCTGGCTACTTGGAAGGCTGAGGCTGAAAGATCACCAGAGCCCAGCAGGTCGACATTGAGATGGCTGTGAGCATCCACTGCACTCCAGCCTGGGTGACGGAGATTCCAACTCAAAATTAAAAATAAAAGTAATAATAAATTCCATGACAAAGAAAGATTTGGTGTAACAGATGTTCAAGGAGGAAAATGCTGTGTTGATTCTCTTACAATTCTTTATTACAAATAATCTCATGCAACAGATATTATTGGTCCTTTCTCTGACCAGCCACATGACAGCCATTTCATACATGTGAGTGTGAAGTGTCACTTGTAAGGGGAGCTGTTGGCATGTCTTTAGTCCTTGTGTGGCTTCTTGGTCTTGCAGTCTCTATTCCAACTTGAGATACCCCTATTGTCTTTACTTTTCAGTCAGTCCCCCTCCAGGGACTAGTAGCCAGAGAGGGTGTTCTTCAAGATGCCCAGCATTCCTCTCTACTTGCAGAGTTACTCTAGTGAAAACTGAGTATAAATTCCTTTTTATTTGCAACAGCTATAGCCTGAGAATATTCTAGCAGTTTATTCATTTTTTAAATTAATTTAAAAATTCTGAAGCCCATGGGAAAATTAAGAGTACAGTGAACACTCCTTACCTTGGTTACCCAGCTGTTATCATCTTGCCATATTTCTTACTCCTCCCTCCCTTTCTTCTTATTTCCTTTTTTTCTCATCTCTTCTTTCTTCTCCTTTCTCTTTTGCCCAACCATGTGACACTTCACTTATAAACCATTTTACTCCTAGATCCTTTGGGGTATACTAATCCTTCCAAAAAGGAGGGTGTTCATCACTACAGCCAATGGTACCCTTAGCATACCTAAGATCAGCATTAATTCAGTGATATCCCAGTTGCCACCCCAAAAAAAGTCTTGATAGCTCTTTTTTCTCTGTTTTCAGTGCATAATCTAATCAAGTTTCATCCATTATTCTCAGTCCAGAGTGAACCTACTGCCATTTCTCTCTTCCTTAAGACATTGAATACAGACTACAGATCAGTTATTTCACAGAATGGTTCATATTCTGGATTCTTCAGACTGACTCCTCCTGATCAGGTGTAGGTCACACATTTATGGAACAAATACTTATATGAATCCTCCTGTTTCTCAGCAGCCCCATTGTTTGGCATCCTTGGATCCTTGGATGACCCTTACAATACCAGTTATTGTGGGTTGTAAAATGGTAATTTTCTAAATTTTTTCTTCCTTTTACATTTATTAGCTAGCCTTCTTCAATGAAGAATTTTTCTTTTGCCCTTTCTCTTCCTCTGTCTCTCACCTTTTTGGTGGTAGGTTTTTTAAGAGACAGGGTCTCACTCTGTCACCCAGACTGGAGTGCAGTAGTGTGTTCATAGCTCACTGCAACCTCGATCTCCTGGGCTCCAGTGATCCTCCTGTCTCAACTTCCTAAGTAGCTAGGACTATAGGCACATGCCACCGTGTCTGGTTAACTGGAACTCCTGACCTCAAGCCATCCTTCTACCTCAGCCTCCCAAGTGCCGAAATTACAGGTGCGAACCACCACCTCTCACCTTTGTTTTTAGAACACTATTATTGACTGATTGGGTTTTTTAAGTTTTTATTTATTTGTTTGTTTATTTATTTATTTATTTATTTTTGAGTCAGAGTCTCTGCAGTGACACGCTCACGGCCACCCCAGCGTCACCTGCTGGACTCTGTCAATCCTTCTGCCTCAGCCTTCCAAGTAGTGAGAACTACAGGTGCGCACTACCATGCCCGGTTGATTTGTTGATTTATTGTAGAGATGAGGTCTCACCAAGTTGCCCAGACTGTTCTCGAACCCGTGGGCTCAGGCATTCCCCTCATCTCTGCCTCCCAAAGTGCTGGAATTACAGACTTGAGCCACCACGCCCAGCCCGTTATTATTATTTTTTAACGCATATTGTTTCGGTTTTGGCAAGCTGAAACACTGCATGTACATATTTGTAACATTTTATTTGGATAGAATTTCAGCTTTCAGAAAAGTTTCGAGGAAAGTATAAGGTAGCCATTCTCAACCCCTCTTGCCTCAAAATCATTTTAACTCTCTTAAAAATTAGGTCGGACTCGGTGGCTCAGCCTGTAATCCCAGCACTTTGGGAGGCCGAGGCAAGTGGATTGCCTAAGCCTGTGGGTTCGAGACCAGCCCGGGCAACTTGGCAAGACCGCGTCCCTACAATAAATCAAAAATTAGCCGGGTGTGGTAGCGCATGCCTGTAGTTCCCACTACTTGGAAGACAGAGGCGGAAGGATCACCAGAGCCCAGGAGTTCAACACTGGGGTGACCATGAGTGAGCTACTGCACTCCAGCCTGGGCAACAGAGTAAGACTCCAACTCAAAAAAAAAAAGAATTAATGGATATTTGTTTTTAAAACTTGTTTTTTAGATACAGGATCTCACTCTGTCACACAGGCTGAAGGTGTGATCATGGCTTATTGTAACCTTGAACCTCTAGGCTCAAGTGAACTTTCTGCCTCAGAGTCCCAGGTAGCTGGGAATATAGATGTGTGTCGCTATGCCTGGCTAATTTTCTGATTTTTTTTTTTTTTAATAGAGTAGAGATTTTGTTATGTTGCCCAGGCTGGTCATGAACTCCTGGGCTCAAGCAATTCACCCACCTCCTGTAATGGTGTGAGCCATCGCACATTGTTTCCATTTTTGCTAGTCTCTTTAATGTCTGGCATAACAGGTGAATTCTCATCTAGTTCTGTATCAGTCTGTCAAATATGTTTTGGTTTAAGATGAAAAGTCTTCACACAGATATGTATTTGGAAAAAGGGAAATTGTAGTAGTCTTTTCAGCTACTTGTGACTGTTCTTTGATATTACACCAAAATTCAACAATTGGTAGTTTTTTAAAGGTTAGTTGCAATATAGAATCTGAAGCAACATTAATGAGCTTTTTGTGCTGTTTCATTAAAATCCGTTGATCTGGCGGGGCTCGGTGGCTCAGCCTGTAATCCCAGTACTTTGGGAGGCCGAGGCGAGAGGATTGCCTGAACCCCCGTGAGTTCAAGACCCGCCCAGGCAACTTGGCGAGACCTCATCTCTGCAATAAATCAAAAATTAGCCGGGTATGGTAGTGGGCACCTGTAGTTCCAGCTACTTGGAAGGCTGAGGTGGAAGGATCGCCGGAGCCCAGCAGGTTGAGGCTGCGGTGGCCAGGAGCATGCCACTGCACTCCAGTCTGGGCGACTGAGTGAGACGCCAACTCAAAAAAAAAAAAAAAACCCATTGATCTACCTTGTACTCATATCCATGCATGATTTTATAACATCAAGCATTTGGAAAATACTGGTTTACTGAGTTAGGCAGATATTCCAGATGTCACATTTTATGGACAAATCATCAGTCTTCACGTAACCTCTAGAAAAATCTCTTGTATACTTGTGAGAGGATAAGTGAAGATATAAAAACATCTTAGTAGTATAATAAAAGTAATGTGACCTCTCAGATTTCTATAGGAGTCTCTGGACCACCCTTGGAGAACCTCTGGATAGAATTCCTATATACTTCTTACCCCAATTCACACTCACCAGTTTTTTATCCTTTGCCCTATTTGCTTTATCATATTGTTTTTGTGTGTGTGCTGAATCATTTGAGAGTAAGTTATAGATGTGCCCCTTTATCTAAACGTTTCAGTGTGTATTTCTTTAGAGCCGTGGTTCTAATGTTCCTTGGGAATATGTGGCAATGTTTGGAGACATTTTTGGTTGTCACAGTGAGGGGTGGGGATTGTTCAGCATTCTACAATGTACAGAACAGCCCTGACAACAGAGACTTACCCAGTCCAGAATGTTAATAGTGCCAGATTAGAAAAAGCTCTGACTTAGAGCACAAGTGTATTCTCTAACATGACCACAGAACGTTTTTCAAAATCAGGAAACTTAACACTGGTTCAATATCTAATGCACAGTTTATATTCAAGTTGTGAATATTATCCCAATAATAGCCTTTGTAACTACCCTCTCTCCCCCGGTCCATAGTCACTCATTGCATAGTTGTGTTTCTTTGGTCTCCTTTAATCTGGAGTAAGTTCTCAGTCTTTCTTGTCCTTGATATTTTTGAAGAGTGCAGGTGAACTATTTTGTAGAATGCCCTTAAGTTTTGTGTCATGCATTTTTGGCATGAATACCACAGAAGCAATGTTTTTTTTTTCCTTCTTCTCAGTACATTATATTAGAAGGCACATCTGGAACTGCGTATGGTTGGCCCATGCCTGTAACCCCAGCAGCTCTGGAGCCTGAGGTGGAAGAATCATTTGAAGCCAGGAGTTTAAGACCAGCCTGGGCAAAGTACACAATGATAAAGATGGACTATAAACCACTGAATAAATAAATGGAGATAACCAGATGTGCCTTATTTTTTAAATTATTTTTTAAGAAATGAGATCTTGCAGAGTGCAGTGGCTCACGCCTATAACCCCAGCACGATATCACTTTTTTTTTTTTTTTTTTTTTGATTCGGAGTCTCACTCTGTCACTCAGGCTAAAAGGCAGTGGCACACTCAAGGCCACCGCAGCCTCAACCTGCTGGGCTCAGGTGATCCTTACATCTCAGCCACCACACATGCCACCATACCCGGCTAATTTTTTTATTTATTGTAGAGATGAGGTCTAACCAAGTTGCCTAGGTTGGTCTTGAAACCATGGACTCTGACAGTCCTCTCACCTTGACCTCCCAAAATGCTGGAGTTTTAGGCCTGAGCCACTGCGCCCTGCAATATCCCATCTCTTAAAAAATAATAATAATAAAAAAAAGAAGGCACATCTGGTTATCTCCATTTATTTATTCAGTGGTTTATAGTCCATCTTTGCTATTGTGTACTTTGATGTTCAAATTGTCCAAGATTCAGCAGATAGAAGCTACTTTTGATATTTTCCCCACTGGCCTTGGGCACTAGAAGCTCCAGTTTCACCTTGTACTTTCCCTGTCTCAGACTTCGAACAGCTATTCCTCTCAGGATCCCTGGATACCTTTTAGCTACTTATTTTTTTTCCCTTATCAGTATTTCCCTTTATTTAGCTTTGGCTCAAAGCAAATGTTGTTTTGGAATACACAAGTTTTAGGAAGAATTGTTTTAAAATTCAGTCCCATTTTATCATCACTGTAGAACTGATCGCTGATTCTTTGTTTTTTCAAAACAAGTTCACTCTGTTTTTCTAAATTTTAATATTTGACTTGAAATTTCTTTTTTGTCTGTTTCCCCATTTTTTCTGTGGGTCACTATACCTAACATTTTTCATAAAATTCAACTTACATTCCTTGGAGAAACATCTTTTTTTGCAGTGTTTTGATTTAAACAGGATCCTTCCATTACCTTTAACAAGATTCCTTTAAAAGAAAATATATGCCTAAAACGAAAAAGAAGATGAGAATGTTAAAAATAGGGATTGGTAAAGTATGATGGATCCAGCACATGCCTCCCCTTCCCTTCAGAGATCAAGGTTTATCAACTTTTTCCAACTTCAATTTATAACAGTTCTGAGTCTTTTTCCCAAATTGTTTGAAATAAGGACTGGCGTATACTTCAGAAGTTCTAATTTAATAAGTGAGTCAGCTTTGAAGAGTGAAATAAACTATGTAACCTTGGTTGTTTAGCCTTTCATTAAAAAACCAGTCACTTTGTTTTCCCATGCTGTCTACTTGTATTTTTAAATTATAGAGTAAAAGGAGAAACTAAAACTTCTATGAGCCATGTGCCTATCACACAAGGTCTCGTGTCCTGTAACATCAGATATCATTCTCAGCCTTCTCTCCCTTTTCCCGCAGGGCTACACCAAGTCCATTGATATTTGGTCTGTAGGCTGCATCTTGGCAGAAATGCTCTCCAACAGGCCCATCTTTCCAGGGAAACATTATCTCGACCAGCTGAACCACATTCTGGGTAAGGAGTCCTTCAAGGGCTAGATTTACATAGCTTGCCTGCCCATGGTTTAAGGCAAAGTCAGTTCCTTAAATTAAGAAAAGCTCTGGCCGGACTCGGTGGCTCAACCTGTAACCAACACTTTGGGAGGCCAAGACGAGTGGATTGCCTGAGCTCACAGGTTCAAGACCAGCCCGAGCAACTTAATGAGACCTTGTCTCTACAGTAAATAAAAAATTAGTCGGGCATAGTAGCGCATGTCTGTATTTTCAGCTACTTAGAAGATTGAGTCAGAAGGATTGCCAGAGTCCAGAAGGTCGATACTGGCTAGGGTGGTCGTGAGCATTCCAACTGGGTAACAGAGTAAGACTCTAACTTAGGAAAAAAAAAAAAATCAAGAAAAGTTCTCATTCTTTTTACCCTGTGGTAGATGTAAACTTTACCCTTCCATGATGTAAAATGTTAAGAACCTTTTTGTAAAAACTGTTTAAGAAAGGTAAGCATTGGGAGCTGGTGAGATGTTAATAGCCAGAGTTCATTCTGTCCCATGTATGTTGTCTCTTGCCTTGGTCTTGATAATTAACAACTAATTATTTTATCTGATAGGTATTCTTGGATCTCCATCACAAGAAGACCTGAATTGTATAATAAATTTAAAAGCTAGAAACTATTTGCTTTCTCTTCCACACAAAAATAAGGTGCCATGGAACAGGCTGTTCCCAAATGCTGACTCTAAAGGTAAGTATTATTTCATTGATTAGTTTTTCTTAGGCTTAGCTTCAGGTTTGTTTGTTTTATTTGTGGAATAATTAGATCACTAGCCTGAAAAGCTAGCCTATGGCTATTGGATAATGCCCTTTCTAGTACTCACTCTTTCTAGCTTCTCTTCTTTTTGTTTTGGAGCAGTGACAATAGAGGAAGACAGACTGGTGATAACTTGCTAGTCTTCCACCTTTTGGTTTCTTTGCTACTTTTAATACAAGTTCACATTTTTATGGTTCGGAAAGTCTAAGAACCTGCAAAGCAAATTACACTTTGTCATTTGATTATTGTTAAAGTCAGGTTTGTTGAAGAATAATTTTGCATTGAGTGAATTTCACACTTTTTTAGTTGTGTAGGTCTCAGAGTTTTAACAGACTTGGAGAGTATTTGTCATGTAACTTCTACTACAAGATATAGAATATTTTTCATCATCCCCAAAAGTTGCCTTATACCCCTTATAGTCAGTTTTCTCCCCCAGTCTTTGGCAATCACTGATTTGATTCTTTAATTTTGCCTTTTCCAGAATGTCATATTAATGGAATTATGGAGATTCTTCTATTCAGCATAATTCTTTTGAAATTTATAAAAATCCATGTTGTTGCTTGTGTGTCTCTTCAATAAATGCTGCTGAAACTATTAGGCACTCATATGCGAAAAATAAAACAAAACAACTAAAAATGGAATGTAGACCTAAGTATAAGGTCCTAAACTATTAAACTTCAAAAGGAAAACAGTCTTCATGACCTTAGTTAGGTTAGACAAAATTTTCTTAAGATATAACAGCTGTAAAAGAAAAAAGTGATACATTAGATTTTTATCCGGTTTTTTTAGATTAACTCTGTTTAACATTATCTTTTATTCCCATTTTAACATATAATATGTTTGGCAACTATTGCTTAAAACTTTTTTAAAAAAAGGCCCGGCTTGGTGGGCCTGTAATCCCAGCACTTTGGGAGGCCAAGGGGAGTGGGTTGCCTGAGCCCGCAGATTCGAGACCTGCCCAGGCAACTTGGCGAGACCATGTCTCTACAATAAATAAAAAATTAGCTGAGTGCGGTAGCGCGTGCCTGTAGTTCCAGCTACTTGGAAGGCTTGAGGCAGGAGGATCACCTGAGCCCAGCATGTCGAGGCTGTGGTGGCCAGGAGCATGCCACTGTACTCCAGTCTGGGCAACAGAGTGAGATTCCAACTCAAAAATAAAACAAAACAAAAAAAACTGTATACAGTTATAAAACTGCAATTGTATAATGCTTACCTCCCAACCCCCACCCCAAATGACCACATCCTAATCCGCAGGATCTATGACTGTGTTAGGTTACCTGGCAAAGGAGAACTACAGTTGCAGATGCAACTAAAATTGTTCATCATCTGACTTTGAAGACAGGAAAAATTATCTAGGATTATCTAGGTGGACCCAGTATAAACACAGTAATGATGTGACTAACTCACCCATCTGCCTGCTGTTCATCTTCTGACATCAGTACCTACACTTACCTGGTCCTTTGTGATGATGTGGAGTATAGACCACCACCCAATCACCTTAACGACCTGCTACCATCAAAGGGGAATATTTAAAAGCATTCACCCTCAAGCATGCAGTCACCACTGCCTTACTAAACTCTGGTGTGTCCACGTGGCTCTCTGAGCTACCACCACCATGTAAAAAAAACAGTGAGCTGGGCTCGGTGGCTCAGCCTGTAATCCCCCGCCTTTGGGAGGCTGAGGTGAGTGGATTGCCTGAGCCCGCGGGTTCGAGGCCCGCCAGGGCAACTTGGCGAGACCTCATCTATACAATAAATCAAAAATTAGCTGGGCGTGGTAGCACGCACCTGTAGTTCCAGCTACGTGGAAGGCTGAGGCGGAAGGATCGCCAGAGCCCAGCAGGTTGAGGCTGCAGTGGCCAGAAGCAGCCACTGCACTCCAGTCTGAGCCACAGAGTGAGACTCCAACTTAAAAAAATTAAAAGGTGGAGGAGGGAATCTGAATAGGGTGCTTGTCCTTCCATATCTTTCTCTATCTTTATACATATGCATATTTTCTCCAAAATTTACTTTTTAAAAATAATGATTACAAAGTTACATTATTTTGTAAGAATTCAAAAATTATAGAAACATTTAGCTAAGAAGGTAACATTCTTTTATAATTATTCTCTAAATGTCATTGTTAATAGAATTGTGTCTTGACCATCTTTCCATATCAGTACATAGATCTGGCTTAGCTTTAAAGATTTTATAGTATTTTTATCCAGTCTTCTTTTAGAAATTTAGCTTTTCCTAATTTTTGCTATTTTATCTATATGTGTGTGAATGCATGTACATTTGTGTATGCATGTGTATGTATGTATTTAACTTTAACAACTGTCTCCTTGATGAATTTGTTTTATGTATTTACTTGAGTCAAGTTTCAGAAACACTTGTTTAAAATTAAATTTCTTTTGTATATAGGAGAAACTTTCTTTTAATGTCTGATAAAAAGTAATATATCATCATTGTAAGCAGTTTCGAAGAATAGAAAGAATAGGTAAGAGAATAAGAAATACTTCTGACAACCAGAATCTCAAAATAACCCTTAAAGTTTTTTTGTAACGTGTGCAAACTTTTACCCATGTGATTGTAATTATATAATTACATTCCGATTGTAGGATTTTTTTATAACGTGTGCAAACTTTTACCCATGTTATTGTAATTATATAATTACATTCTGATTGTAGAATTTTTTTAGTTAGAACTTCACATGCAGTTGTTCACAGGCAGTTGTTACTGGTGAGCTTGGCTGGTACTGTATACTATTATCTCCTGAGCATGTAACCTAACTTATTTCTCGAGTTGCCTTTTTAAAGAGGTGCAAACATAACTACGTAATTTAGATTTTATGATAAATAGGCCTACTCCTAGATTTTCTTCCTCTGTTTCCTCACTATTGATAAAGTTAGTCATGATCTCTCTCACATTATTTTTGAGTCTTTTTTTTTTTTTTTTTTTGAGTTGGAATCTCACTCTGTCACCCATACTGGAGTGCTGGAGTGCAGTGGCACGCTCCGGCCACTGCAGCCTCCACCTGCTGGGCTCCGGCAATCCTTCCACCTAAGCCTTCCAGGTAACTGGAATTACAGGCGTGCGCCACCACGCCCGGCTAATTTTTTATTTATTGTAGAGATGAGGTCTCGCCAAGTTGCCCAGGCAGGTCTTGAACCCACAGGCTCAGGCAGTCCACTCACCTCAGTCTCCCAAAGCGCTGGGATTTGAGTCTTTTTTTAGCTTATTTTTCTTAGATTAAGATCATGAACTTTGAGGTTGGTCCATTCAGGTAATATTTAACACTACAGAAATTCCAAGAAATTAATTCTGAGGTTATAGGTATTGGGTGAATATAAAGAAAAAGTAGGGGTAAGCTATAAGTAGAACAAAGAAAGTGAGAAACAGGAGTTGGTGGTACTGGAGTGAGTAGTAGAACATCATGTGTTGGGAGCATGGGGCTTGCTGTTAGACTTCCTGGTTTCAGTCCACAGCCCAGCCACTACATGTGTAAACTTTAGACAACTACCTAGCCTTTTCAGACCTCTCTGGTTTTCTCCTTTAGCAGCTAGTAATAGTACTTGCATCACAGGATTGGGTGGTGTTCATACTACTGACATTTGTAAGTGTAGATTCTGAGATCTCGAGACTTAAAACTTTTTCATTTATATAACTTGGAGATTTTTTCCTATCTGTAGTTATAAAGAGTGACTATAGTGGATAACCTATAAGTATCCTTCAACTAGTCTCATAATGGACGTTGAAGTTTACACCAGTTATCTGTTGCTACATAATAAACCACTCTGAGACTCAAGCTTGAAATAACAACCATGGGTGCATGGACTCATGAGCAATGCCGCTGGGTGGGTCTGCAGTCACTTGCTGTCTCCTTCAAGTGAGTGATTTAACATCTTGTAACTGGGTCTCCTCATAGTTGCCTCTCATCCTAAAGTACACTAGACTGGACCTCTTCTCATGATGGCAGGAATATTCCAAAAGACCAAGAACACAGATGCTGCAAGGTCTCTTCAGACCAGGTCCCTCAGAACAACACATCTGCCATATTCTGTGGTTCAAAGCAAATTGCACAGCCAGCCCACATTCAAATGGTGGAGAAATAAATTCTGCTGATCAAAGGAATTACAAAGAATCTGTGCCGTATATAACTTGTCACTACGTTGTTTTTAGATTTTTATTATGACATAAATTTATTCATTTAATAAATAGATTTGCTATGTGCTATCAAGGTTTCTCTAAGGCCCTGGACATAGAACCAGCAATAATACAGATTAAGAACCTACCTGCAAGTAGCTGATAGTCTAGATTTGTGTGAAAATGCCCTAAGAAAATGAATGAAAGTTCTCAGGAACTCACGAGATTTAAATTTTCAAGCTGGAACGTTGGAGCTTTTAAGTCTAGTTAGTGGGAGTTGACAGAAAAGGAAATTGCAGTGTCTCTTAAATATAGGAAAAGGTGCTCGTTTTTACTTGTAGTACGATATATAAACATTAAAAGGTCAGTTTGCTTTTTTTTTTAAACCCACACTCATCACAATACCAAACATCAAAAGTTTGACACCCCACTGTGTGGTCAAAACTGGGGGTGGTAAACAAAGGTTCTCAGAGACAGTTGATAAAGTGTAAATTAGTTGGGTCTCTGGAGTGGGGGGTTGACAATTCTGTCACATCTTTCATTCCAACAATTCTGAGTATTGAACTTTTAAGGCTGCCAACCACATGGGGGGGTGGCATTTAATTTGTTTTTCCTTAATTAAGAGTGAGATTGAATATTTTTTCACATTTGTTGGAAATTTTTAATTGCTGTATCCCTTGAACCACTAGTATTGTAGATTTTTCTTTAAAGGCATCTAAGCTTAGGATTCTTTCCAAAATGACTTAGTGAGGGGGAAGAAAATTATTATTATTCAGCAGATGGTACTTTGCTAGTTGAATAGCTGTTTGG